TTTTACTTTTTTATCACAATTTGTTAACTTGTTCTATGTGGTACTTTTTTTTAATTTGTTGTTTCTACTGCTCGTTTTTGTTTTGTATGTTTATACATCTTTTATTATCTTAACTTATTTTTGACATTCCTTCCATTGAATGCTTTTATTCTCTAAATCTAAACATTCAACTCATTTTTAATTCATTTTAACATCGTTTGTTTTGTCAACAACCTGTAAAGCAATTTATTTGGAATTGTTTTTAAGGTGCTGTATAAATAAAGGTTTGATTGATTGATTAATTGAAGGTATCACTAACTTTTCATGTCACAGGTGAGGGCCAACTGCCTCAACGCTGTAACACACACATTCCACAGTGATAGTGGAGTGTCCGTCAAGAAAGGGTCCAGCATCGTGCAGGTGTCCAATCAGAAGGGAGTGTCAGTATCTTGTGACCCGTCGCTTGAGGTGTGCAGCTTCACTCTCGATGGATGGTTACACGGTAGGGGAGCTATACATATATTGTTTGTCACTAATTTTCTATTTTTAAGAAACACGTAAAACTCTGGGATGTGCACACGTTTTATTTTCTACACAGGCACGTCCACTGGTCTGTTAGGAGTCAATGACAACGAAGTAGGGAACGATTTCCCTTTACCTGATGGATCTCAAGCTGAAAACATGGACAGTTTTCTCTATAGCTGGCAGGTATGTGTCCGTCTGTCTGTCTTCACGTGTCGATAATGTCTGTCTACATTCACACATGTTGGAGCTTTGTTGACGTAAATATTTGCAGTTTGATCATGTGTTTTTTCTTTAGATGAAACCAGAGCATATGAGGCCTCCACCTCCTGCAGCTATGAGCCCTGTGAGCTGTGACTATCTCTTCTCCTCTCCAGATTCTCCACTGAGTTCCTGTTTCAGAGTGGTGAGTAGATAAATCCCACACTGCTGACATGTATGAGCTGTGTTTTTCCAGGAATGATAATACATTCAGGGGTAGTATGTAATTCATGGCTCTCGTCACGGGTGAGTTCACCTTGAATAGACATAAGATGTTGAAAACATGTATGTGGCACTGTGCCAACTTTGTGTCTCAGACCTTTCTTATCTTATAATGGATGTCAGGGTTAAAATAAGACATTCTTCAGCTGGAGATGAGGGAACAAATGAACATGATAAACTTAAGACGACAGTATTCATGTGTCATGAACTTTGCTTTGGTTGGATGGAAGAAAATCAGTCTAACCTACACTGACTGGCACTCAGAGAGCACAAACCTCTGTCAAGGCCCAACTGTTCCCTTATGAAACCACATAAAAATCAACTAAATCTGGAATTTTGTTTGGATCCGTACCAAATTTTGTATGCTCATTAATATCAGTCCTCTACACATAGCTCCTTTTACCAAGTTCCATGAAATATCTCTGAGAAATCCTGTAAAAATATCTCATTATGAGAAACAAAGTGAAAAATCCTGGACCGCCCTCTGATCCAGGTCTGGACCAAAATGTAAAGGCTTTCTCCCTGACCCACACTGCATCATTCCAATTAGTTGATCATCTTTTCCTTGAGTTAAAAGTTTATAACATATATTTATCGGATCTCAATGATTTTTTTGGTCTGCACATACTAAAACATAACCTCCTTGGCAGAGGAAACCATCACTTGCTACATCTGCCAAGCAAAGATGCTGCAAAGTAAATATAAATATGTAAATAAATATATTTCAGGTTAAAATGAGATCATCTAAAGTCTTGCATTTAATTGATGGGGAGGAAAATGTTTTATAGTAGCAGGCGTGGGTGGCAGTTTAGCTGAGCAGGGATCAGTGAAGATGAGGTCGTATTTAAAGGGACTGCTTTGGTGAGAGAATGGTAGCTGACAGCTGAGCAAATGACTCCGTGTCCTGCATGAACTAATGAGATGCTTCATTATCTGCCTGATAAATCAAATGTGTTCTCTGTGCCAGGTAAGTGAAAAAATATGGCTCGTAATGTTTTTCGTTCCCATACATGTCTCTTGTCTGTGAATGATGGTGGAACTAAAGTATACGACCATGTGTCTTTGTCCTCAGGTGGAGCCTGCTCAGTTCTTCTCAGTGTGCGAGTCGAGCTCCTCCGGGGCCCCCTGCAGATTAGCATCAGCATTTGTCCGTCTATGCCAGCAGAACTACATCCCGCTGGAGGTCCCCGTCCATTGCTGTAAGTTCAACCTTTAAGCAGCCAAGATGTGAATGATTAGAGACTCACGCAGATTGATACTGTGCTCTCATGATGTTTATATTTCTCAAAGAAAAAGGGGAACGATTTTAACAATTTCTTGTTTTTCTTTTGTTTCAGTGAAAGTATGAAGGAAGGAGAAGCTTCAAGTGATAACGACCCCGTTAGCTGCTAAAACAACACTCTCATATACCACTGGTTATGCTACAATAATTATATATTTTTTTATCATACAATGTTGTATCCTGTTGTTTAGTTTCACAATATTTTAATTCCTAAAATGCACACTTCTCTTTAAGTTATGTGACCCTGAGCAATCTAACTATAACATGTAGATTATTATTGATCACTGTAACAAACAAACAAACCCTGAAGATATTTGCTACAGTAACTAATCCTCACAACCAAACTTTGATCATAAAGACACCAACACATGTTCTTTTCAGTATGATGATGTGCATTTATTAATTGTTGTATGTTAAATACATGTTTTTATTGTTTATGTCGCTTAGTTAATTTGTGCCCTGGAAGATGGGTATGTAGTTGTGTATCTTGGACTTCTGTCCCTGTGTGAGACACTCGGCGATCCAGACGATGTTGCGACTCTCCTGCTCCTTCAGCCTGATGTAGGCGTAAAACACTCCAAAGTGGAACTGCTGCAGGAACGCGAGTGTGTTCAGTTTAACCTGAGGAAAGATGACAGTTGCAGTCACTGAAATTTTGTTGCACTGTAACTCTAAAATCCTTCATATTGTCAGTAAAAATAGTTGAACCAAGCTGACCATACTTTTAAAATGAATTCTGAGGTCAAACACTTGATAAGCAGAGTAAGGAAATAATTTGTTTTACAAGATCTGGACCAACATTAAAGTGAAATTACCTCTCGTTCAAAGAACCTGTCCTCCAGAGTCTTAAAATCTGATCCCGGCTCAGGGTCATCAAAAATGACTTTATAGTCCTACAGGGAGGTGGAGGTTAAAGTTAACCACATGTCTTTAGGTGCAGCAACAGTACAGCAGCTCTCCTTAAGATGTGCTCAGACTCACAGGGTAACAGTCGGCCACAGCTTTGACTTGCTCGTGGTCTTCCGCCTTGGCCAGCAGCTGCAGCCCCTCTGGATGAAGTTTGCCACAAGATGGATACAGAGCGCTCCTGTCTGCGCCGCTCAGATCTGTCCCGAAGGAGTTCACAGTGATGATAAAGGCCCGTCTGTCTGCTTCAAACTGCACCTCGCACACACGCATACAATTTCAGCCAAACAAATCTTAAATATATGTAAAGCGTCATCAGGCGATGTGGTGGAAAAGGTCACAGTACCTCCAGGACAGGACACATTGTTTCCTTCGTGGCTCCGCCTATGTTTTTGCAGAATGAATGGAAAGACTCTAAATACGCCTTTTAAAAAACACAAGGGTCAGACCTTCTCTAGAAAAAACAGGCATATATATTTATGGTACATGTGTTAAAATGTTAACCTCAGTCAGAAACCATAACCCAAGCTGTTACCACACAGTATTAAATGATGCAGTCCACATATCATGTCATCACACACATTAGGCATCATGGTAAGTTGTAGTCACCTTATACAGTTTGTTTCTCAGGATCTCAGCCTCCATTTCATCCAGGTTGGACTCGGATACAGCATCCTGGAAAAACTGAGCTGCAAAAAACGGCAACAGTTTGATCAGCAGTCATATGATCATGTCACTTTTTTAAATGTATCATATTCTTGCAACAACAGGGAAAAAGTAATGGATGAGACTTATAGGGTAATTCAAAATCATGACCTAATCATCACTTTACTGTGCTACCAGGTGAGCTAACAGGTGCACGCCCCACTTATGTAGCAGCTGCAGATTTGATGAGTGTCTTCCCACATTCTCTCATAACACATTTCATGCTCGCGCTTTCCAATCGATAACTGCACAATGCCCCCCGAAAAAGCTTTGACAAAAAGTGATTTTACAACATTCGCTCACTTTTTATAAACCCTGACCTGCACATTCACGTTATTTACTTATCTAGAGTTGACTTGACAATGCTGACCACTGAGGGAACCAATTAGACCAAAATCACAGTGAATTTATGTGTCACAGACAGACAAAAAGAAAGTTTGCTTTCATTGAGAGCTTATTTTTTTCTCTTTTCTGATAAAACTGAGTCTAATCCTGAGAAGAAATCCGCTCAGGACTGAGAAAACAGAAAGTTGGAGAGCTTGATGCTCACTACCACAAACCTGACTGGCCTGGCAATGTAACCATTTATGGCCTTCATATTTTTTGCAAAAATAACAGAAGTTGAGTGCTTCAATCACGATAGATGGATTAGCAAGACAAGACCACATAAATAGAGTAAACAGTGTGAGGATACATTCAAAGTCAAGGCAGGAGAAATGAGATATTCTGAATAAATCTTTGTATATTTATAACATTAATATAAAGATGAACAGATGACTCAGCTGTTTACTGATTTTCAAATAAAATATCCTCATCTGTGCCTTGGCCCTCTCCGGTTCCAGTCTGAATAGTTATGGTGAAATCTTTACAATCCACCAGGTGAAAAACTGCTATGAGAGAGACGGGAAGAAAGATTCACTCTGTAAAAGTCCCCAAACACTATAAATCTAATATAAGTCACTGAACAATGGCAATGTGAATAGAAGAAACATGCACACACAGGTATGTGCAGCTATCCTTATTAGGACTTCTATTCATTGTGGACAGCCTAGTGAGCAAATCCTTAACATTAACTCCTGGCAAGTTGATGCCTAACCCTAACCTTAACCTAAATAAAATTCACATCTTAACCAAGAGCTCAGAAACAATGTTTAGCCTCATTAGGACCAGGCTTTTGTCCCCATGAGGCCTACAGGTCCAGACAAGGTCAGTGATGGTACTGGAAAAGGTCCTAGTGAGGTAACAAAAATGTGAATACATACACACAGCGAGGCCGAGGTAAATGTGCTAAAGAAAGAAAGTTTAAGCATTTGGCAGTTTGCATGTGAGCTACAACAGTTAATACCAGTTTGGCGTGTTAGGGTTGTAGAGAGGAGGTTGAAGATCAAGAGGGACGGCCCTGCTCCAACAGCATCAGGTTATTCGTTCCACCATCAAGGAACCACAATCTGTCTGGACTGTGGTCACCTCGTGTGCGGGGATGGCAGTGACACATGATGGAGCATAAGCCCAGTTCAAAGAGATAACATAACTAAGATATAAGTCAAAATGACTTTCTGTATTTTAATAATTTCACACATTTGAGACATTTTAATTCTAACTACGTCTCACTTTTTGTTTCAGTTTTCAACTGTGTTTCCTCACCAGCATTATAACTTTATTTCCATTGTAAAATGGTGATATTTATCTCTACTTACTATTTAATACCGTCCGTAATTAAGTTTATCATTCTTGGGAATAGAAGATTAGATGAGTCTGTACCCAGTGGTGTGTCCACCAGAATGGCTGCGTAGAGTTCAGTCGGTGTTCGGGCGATGCCCACTGCTGCCATTTGTTCGAAGGCCCCCAGTGGGTGACAGCGCGGGAGGAGCTCTGACACGTCTCTCTGTTTCAGGGCCCCGGTGATCAGCATCACCACGTTGTCGATCATGTAGCTGTAACTACGGCAACACAGAGAACACGGTCACTTTCTATGGTAGTCCTCAACACGGCGGGGAGCATATCATACAGAAGGTTAAGTAAAAGTAGCTTTCTTTGAATTTTATGAAGTGCTGTGTGTCTGTTTAAATGTGAGGCTTTCTGGAACATATTGGAAAAAAATGATTGTGCTTAGTTTCTTATGCCTTTGACATTAAGTCAGTGCAGCGTTGTGGCATTACGTTATATAGTCGAGGAAGGTGGAGAGAGGAGGCAGGGCGTGGGAGCGCAGGCAGCTGAACTCAGTCGCCAGGTTCTCCTTCAGCTTGTTGTCCACCAGAGACACTGTCAGGTTTTCATCAGACGAGGACAACAACTTCCCATAGTCTGTACTCTGCAGGTGTAGCTTCATGTCTGAGAGGAGAGGAACTCAAATCAGGCTTTTTTCCACACTCAGTTACAAACCAGGAAGAGGTGAATCATACAGTACATTTTGCACACATTGCTATCTTTGACTTTGATTTTATAAAGGGCAACGTGGTGAATCAGCGGTTAGCATTGTGGCCTCACAGCAAGAAGGTTCTCCTCATACTCTGTCTTCCTCCCACAGCCAAAAGACATGGAGATGGGAGTTTGAGTAATTGGAGACTCTAACTTGACTGTCGGTGTGAATATGAGTGTCACTGTATATTGGTCCTGTGATGGACTGGCAACCTGTTCAAGGATGTGCCCCTAAGGTAGCCTATTTATACTGGAAGGATAGATCAACTTGACAGCTTAACACTTTGCAGCTGAAGATAACTATTACATGCATATCATGCAATTTTTACACACAAACACACAGTATAGTGTGTTTTTTTCAGTCAGTTGTCTCCGTTCATTATCCATTAGCCTCAGCGTCGACTCTCTAACATGTCTGTCGTGTTGGAGTATGAACACGCTGCATCTCAAACTAACACCTGATGGTCTTAATCTTCTTAATCTTCTAACTTGCTCTTTCTGTCTCTCTCAGAAAGGAATGCTCATTTCTTAAGCAGAAAATTCAGATGATCTCCTTGACAAATGAGAGCCACCTGAATAAACCAGGTTGAGCAAAATGAAACATCTGGCCGAACATGTGGGTTGTCTGCCCAAGTTTGGCCCATGGACTTCCACGTATGGGCTGATTGCGATGGTAATCCTGCTGTCTCCTGACAGCCAGGAAGATTGTGTGTGTATGTGCAATAGTTGGTCCAGATGTGGAAGTAGACTCCGACAGTCACGCTGTACGTGGTGCTGGACTAGAGCCGAGGAGCTGGGCACATTTTTAAGCCAGAATAAATAAATATATATGCATATATCTGATAAAGCTTCATTCACAAAATAAAAATATGTCTTAAAATGAGACTGTGGTTTGAGATTCTTACCGTCAAGTGTATCACACTGGGCCAGGTTGTGATAATCAGTCTGAGTCAGGATTCCAGCCTTCATCCCTCGAACCAGACCCTCCAGATAACCATGGTCCACGTTGAAACTGAATTCTGCCATTATTCCAAATGAATTATCCACAAGTCAGGCTGCAGGTTAAGGGATGTTTGACTGTGTTTCTCTTTGTTTTTTTCCTCTTTACAACAACTTCTGCATTATTTCCTCCTCTGACTCACATTCATGCTGTTATCTTCCCTTCCTCTTTGACAACTAGTAATTCCATAGTTGCCCTAAAATAGTAAAATGTCTCAGTCCCTGCTCTTGAGCACATTCAGTCTGTGTAAACAGTTAATTTACTCATATCGATTCATGGCACATTGGTGCAGTGTTTAGCACTGTCACCTCATAGCAAGTGAATCCAGTCTGCGTAGCCTTTTTTTCCCAGAGTCCTAAGTAGACTAGGGTAATATGAAACTCTAAATTGACT